CGAGAATATTGATGCTGGTTAATTCCTTTCACATCGATTTCTCATAATCGTGTTGGGTGGCTCAGCCCAAGGGGGTCTAACTGGGTTGAAACAAAATTCAATATAGGGGGGTAAGTAGCCAGCACAAGGTTGAGAACCCGCTGGTACTCGGGGGATAATAGTGTCGTATATAGTTTAGTGTATAGTAGTGTAGTGTCTAGTGTAGTGTATGGTAGTGTAGTGTATAGTAGTGCATAGTGTAGTAAAGATGAGTGTATAGTGCAGTGTATAGTGTAGTGTTTAGTAGTCTCGTGTATAATGTAGTGTATAATAGTGTTTAGTGTGGTGTATAGCTTAGTGTAGTGAATAACAGTGCAGTATATAGTGTAATGTATTGTGTAGTGTATAGTGCATAGTAGTTTTGTGTATAGTAGTGTAGTATATATTTTGATTTAAAGCTTTCGTGACTGCAGGGATTCATATTCTTGGTTCTTTCGGTAAAGTCGCCACGTAGAAGGGAAACAATAAAATAATAAAAATACAAAAAATAAATTCTCACGACGTTTCGACTGCAACACAAGCAATCATCATCAGGTGTGAAAACCACAGCAAGAAAATGTTTTCAAATTTTCTTGCTGTGTATTTTATTGTTTCCCTTCTACATGACTTTACCGAAATAACCAAGAACATATATAGTGTAGTATATAGTTTAGAGTCCCCACCGGTCGCTCAGGGAGGAAGGAGAGGACTACACCTTCTTCTGCAAGGGATACCAGCCAGAAGGGCAACATCTGCATGGTGTGGGCATTGCCGTGAATTCCTACCTCCTGCCAAATCTCACAGAAACACCAACTGGCGTAAACAAAAGGCTTATGTCACTCCGAATTTATTTCGCTGAAAAGAAGCATGCCACTCTTCAGTGCTCATGCCCCAACTTTACCATCAGAAGATGAAGCTAAACACCACTTTTACGAGATGTTGGACGAGGCCCTCCATAGAGTCTCCAAATATGACAAAATCCTGTTCGGTGACTTCAACGCAAGAGTGGGGAGAGATTGTGAGATATGGTGTGGCGTGATAGAACATCACGTTGTTGGTCATGCTAATACGAATGGATTGAGACTACGAAGCCTTTTTGCCGAACATGAACTCACCATCACCAAAACCATGTTCCTAATAAAAAAAACAGTTACAAAACCTTCTGGCACCTCATAGATTATATGATTGTCAGGTGCTCTACGACACCTGCAGAATGAGTGGTTTATCTCCAAAGCACATGCAATGCAATCTTACGCGGACAGATATATAATATGAACAACTTTTATGACGCCGTGAAGATCACCCACGGCCCAAGAAGTTGTCCTCTTTGTCCCCTCGGAAGTGCAGATGGGTCTACTCTCGCAAAGGACCAAACTAAGATAGCCCGGAGGTGGGGTGAACATTTTGGAGTCCTCTTAAGCCAGCCGAACCCATTTCGATTTAAAGCTTTCGTGACTGCAAGGATTCATCTTCTTTGGTTCTTTCGGTAAAGTCACGTAGAATGAGAATAAAATATGAAATCAAATTAAAAGACAACATTGGAGCACTGTCGTCCCGACAGTTCTGTTCTTTCACCTGATGAAGGCTGCTTGTGTTGTGGCCGAAACGTCGTGAGAATTTTATTGTCTTATTTTATTTTATTATATTATTCTCATTCTATGTGACTTTACCAGCCGAACCCAGTTGATCACTGAGTCCTGGAGGAGCGCCCAACACTGCCCACCATCCAGAGCCTTGATCTCCCACCGACGTTCTTCTGAGGTTTCCACCGCCATCAGGTCGCTGATGAACAAAGAGACTCCTGCACCCGATTACATGCCCTGCTGAGATCCTGAAACAGGGGGACTATCTCTGCACCAGAGCAGTTCACCTGCTCATCTCTGAGATGTGGAGGCGAGAGAGCACGCCCTATCAATGGAGGGATGCAAACGTTGTCAACTTATACAAAATTAAGGGGGACAAATCCATCTGTGGAAAACAGCAGGGGCATATCCATCCTCGCAGTTTCTGGCAAAGTCCTGGCCAAGGTCATGCTCCGCAGACTCATTGACACCATCAATGAAGACTTGCTACCAGAGTCCTAGCAGTTGTGTAGAAGTGTAGTGTATAGTGTAGTGTAGGTGACAACCCGTGTGTTGAATTTGAGCCAGGGGTTATTCACTAAAAGGGGATTCGACCACGAGACGGGTGATGGGAAGAGTGAAATAAAAAGTGGAGCCGTGTCGGAGAGAAGAAGCAGAAGAATACGTGTTCTGGACTTGCAGTGTGGTGAGTGAGTAGGTGAGTAGTTGGAGTTAGTGTTGTTGCAACCTGCAGTATGGTGAGTGGGTCGGTGGGTGAGTTGTTGTGACCTGCGGTGCGGTGCGTAAGGAGGTGGGTGAGGAAGCGGGTGAGTTGTTGTGGTCTGCAGTGTAGTGGTTGTTGGACACTGAGTGTCCGTCCAATTCACGGAACCAGTAACCATGGTAGTTGAGTGAGAAGAGTGACTTGCATTTCCCATAGACTTGCATTGCCCATAGACTAACACTGCCCATAGACGAACACTGCCCATAGACTAATACTGCCCATAGGCTTACACTGCCCATATACTAACACTGCCCATAGACTAACACTGCCCATAGACTAACACTGCCCATAGACTAACACTGCCCATAGACTAACACTACCCATAGACTAACACTGCCCATAGATTTACACTGCCCATAGACTAACACTGCCCATAGACGAACACTGCCCATAGACTTACACTGCCCATAGACTAACACTGCCCATAGACTAACACTGCCCATAGACTAACACTGCCCATAGACTAACACTGCCCATAGACTTACACTGCCCATAGACTTACACTGCCCATAGACTTACACTGCCCATAGACTAACACTGCCCATAGGCTTACACTGCCCATAGACTAACACTGCCCATAGACTAACACTGCCCATAGACTAACACTGCCCATAGACTTACACTGCCCATAGATTAACACTGCCCATAGACTTACACTGCCCATAGACTAACACTGCCCATAGACTTACACTGCCCATAGACTAACACTGCCCATAGACGAACACTGCCCATAGACTTACACTGCCCATAGACTAACACTGCCCATAGACTAACATTGCCCATAGACTAACATTGCCCATAGACTAACATTGCCCATAGACTAACACTGCCCATAGATTAACACTGCCCATAGACTTACACAGCCCATAGACTAACACTGCCTATAGACTTACACTGCCCATAGACTTACATTGCTCATAGACTAACAATGCCCATAGACTAACACTGCCCATAGCTTACATTACCCATAGACTTACACTGCCCATAGACTAACACAGCCCATAGACTAACATTGCCCATAGACTAACACTGCCCATAGACTAACATTGCCCATAGACTAACATTGCCCATAGACTAACATTGCCCATAGACTAACATTGCCCATAGACTAACACTGCCCATAGACTAACACTGCCCATAGACTAACACTGCCCATAGACTAACACTACCCATAGACTAACTTTACCCATAGACTAACATTGCCCATAGACTAACACTACCCATAGACTAACACTGCCCATAGACTAACATTGCCCAGAGACTAACACTGCCCATGGCATCGTTGAAGCTTCAAGCGCATGGGGTCCATAAGGGGCTTGACTCCAAGCGATGACGAGTGACGTTATCGAGGTCATCAATGACGACAATTCTCGTGGCCCCGCCCCCCCCTCCACCCCCTCGCCCCTCCCCCCCACTCACCCACCGCTCTAATATTTAGGAGCATTCCGTGGTGCCGGTTGCCAAAATCAAGGCGTTGTGGGTCAGGTTCAATCGGACAAAACCACTCCGGTCATCATGGTCGTCTTCGTCGCCGTGGGCTGATGAACAAATTATACTTTTTATGTTTTTTTATTTTACACAAACAATCATCATGGGTTTCCAACACTTTATTTCATTCGACATTTTTTTCCTCGGTTCCACGGTGGATTTTATTTGTTTGGAGGGGGGCGGGGGGGTTTATTTGCTCCGTTAGGCTCTGGAGTGAACGCGAAATATAAAAAGACGACGTCTTCGTTAGGCTAAGCCACTGGCGCTCTGCTGCACTTTAAAATCGTTGTCTAGAATTGTTGTTGTTGTGTTTAGTTTGTTGTGCTCCCCCCCCCCCCCGCGCACCTCCGATTAGCGCAGTTGGCTACGTGCGTTGCAAAAGAAATTCAACATACATACACTACACTATACACTACACTATACACTACACTATACACTACACTATACACTACACTATACACTATACACTACACTATACACTACACTACACACTACACTATACACTACACTATACACTACACTATACACTTCACTATAGACTACACTATACACTACACTATATACTACACTATACACTATATTATACACTACACTATATACGACACTATACACTACACTATACACTACACTATACACTACAATACACACTACACTACATACTACACTATACACTATACTATACACTATAATACACACTACACTACATACTACACTATGCTATACACTAAAACGTGATACGTAATTGAAAATTTATTTCTTTATAATTTTTCGTTTCCTGTCACTGCCACCGCACCTCCGATTAGCACGGTGGGCTACGTATGGTGCGAAAGAAGTTCAACATAAGTACAAAAATTGTCCATGGCTATGCTACCCAAACTGTGGACCGCATAGTAATCCCATAGACTCAATAGAGATGCACAGAAACCCGTAGAGACGTGGAAGTCCTCTCGTTGTGGCAGCAGCAGCAGTAGCAGCAGCAGCAGCAGCAGGACATTGGCATCGAGCTTCTGAAGAACAACAACGTCGCTGCTGGCACCATCACCACCACCACCACCACCGTCGTCGCCACCATCGCGCGAGAACGGAATAGAATCTCTTCGGAAGGTCAATTCTCGTAGCCCGTTGCGCATAGGAGGTGCGAGAGAGACATGAACGCCTCTGGTCTCAACGCAAGCGCGCTGGCATCACCGCCGCCGCCGCCTCCTCAGCATGCCAACGCCACGGTCGCCACTTACTTACCCTACGGCCTGATCATCGACGTCCTCAACTGCGTCAACGCCTTCACCATGCTGCCCTCCCTCTGCTTCCTCGCCTGCATCCTCGCCGCGATTCTGGGCACGCGCCTCCGCCACAACTACCGCCACGTCCTCTTCGCCAACCTGCTGCTCTGCGACAGCCTCTTCCTCGTCTCCTCCGACACCGTCGCCCTCCTCGTGTGGCGCCGGGTGCCCATCCCCGTCGTGCCCTGCTACGCGTTCGCGCTCGTCGCGAGCGCCCTCCAGTACGCGGGCCTCCTCTGCGTCACCCTCATGTGCCTCGAGCGCTACGCCGCCGTCTGCCACCCGCTGCGCTACCGCGCCTGGTTCGACCGCCCGGCCGCCCTCGTCGCGTCGCTCGCCGCCGTCTGGAGCGGCTGCGCGTGGTCGCCCCTCGCGCGCGCCCTGCTGCTGCTCTCGGGCGGCGCGCCCCTGCCCGCCGGCGAGGCCTCGTGCGCCGTCGACCGGATCGAGGGGCTCGTGCCCAACGCGACCGCGCTCGTGGCCCTGCGCGAGTCGACGAACGCGGCGGCGTTCGCGGCCAGCGGCGTCGTCGTCGCGTTCAGCTACGCGAAGGTGTTCGGCGCGGCGAGGCGCGCCGCCGCCGCCGCCCCCGCCGCCGCCGCCGCCGCCGCCGCCGGCCCGGGTTCCGGCGCGGCGTCGAGGGCGCGTAACACCGTGGCGCTCCACTCGCTGCAGCTCGTCCTCTACATCTGCTCGCTGGGGAACTCGGCCGTGGTGGCGGCGGTGGGCGCGGCGATCGGAGACGCGCGCGCCTCCAGCGCGGCGCGTTACGCGGCGTACGTGGCGCTCTTCGTCCTCTCGAGACTCGTGGCACCCGTCGTGTACGGCCTGCGCGACAAGGAGATCCTCGGGCAGATGAAGCGGATGCTCCGCGTCGTCCGCCGGCCCGTCGAGGTTGTTCCGGCAGAAGTCGCCTGAGCGGGTTTCACTTCGTATTCTGTGGTTCTTTCGGTAAAGTCACGTAGGTAGATTTCGACATAAAGCTTTCGTGACCGCAGGAATTCGTATTCTGTGGTTCTTTCGGTAAAGTCACGTTTGTAGATTTAGACTTAAAGCTTTCGTGACCGCAGGAATTCATGTTCTATGGTTCTTTCGGTGAAGTTACGTAGATGGGAAAAATAACTACATAAAATAATCAAAATAAAGTGGATAAAATATCACGACGTTTCGATCGCAGCACAAGCGGTCGTGATGACGGAAATCATTTTTTACTAACAAACCGGCACTCATTGCAAGCTCCATCACTGCTTATTTGAATTCCCACTCTCAAATCCGCTCGGTTTCCCAGCTCATATTTCTCACGCTCCACACCCCCATAATTTCTTATCTAAATTCTACCCCTGTATCGTAGCACGACGTTCTTGCTTTAATAAAATCAATTTACATGAAGCCCTCTCCTCTTGACATCCTTCCTGGGGCCCTCTGTAAACAACAACATTTTCCACTCAACTCGCTACTACCGACTGCGCTCCATCGCAAACGCTTAATTTGAATCTTTTAGAACAGGACAAGTTTCACCACCGGACTAGATACTGGCAAGCCTGACAGTTACCGGCCGATTACTAACCTCTCCACCGTAATAGAGGTTTTTTTTGGGTTAGATCGTGTAAATATATAAATGTTGTGCCGTTAAAACCCGACACCACCCGACACAGCCAACTAGTAAGGGTTGTCACGTAAACAGAACGTGCCAATTCGTCACTAGTACAGCACTAGTGTATAGTGTAGTGTATAGTGTAGTGTAGTGTACTAGTACAGCACTAGTGTATAGTGTAGTGTATAGTGTAGTATTCTAGTACAGCACTAGTGTATAGTGTAGTGTATAGTAGTGTAGTGTATAGTAGTGTAGTGTATAGTGTAGTGTATAGTGTAGTATACAAGTACAGCACGAGTGTATAGTGTAGTGTATAGTGTAGTATACTAGTACAGCACTAGTGTATAGTGTAGTGTATAGTGTATTATACTAGTACAGCACTATTGTGTAGTGTAGTGTATAGTGTAGTATACTAGTACAGCACTAGTATATAGCGTAGTGTATAGTGTAGTATACTAGTACAGCACTAGTGTGTAGTGTATAGTGTAGTATACTAATACAGCACTAGTGTATAGTATAGTGCAGTGGTTCTTAACCTGGGTTCGATCGAACCCCAGGGGTTCGGTGAGTCGATCTCAGGGGTTCGGCAGAGCCCCCGCCACGGAGGTCCGGACACACTTGAATTATTGTGTAAATTTGTGATGACACACACGGCCCGCTTGGCCATCACTGGCTGCAGATGATCATGCTACACTGCTTGGCCAATCAGCGCTGCGGGGAATTTAGTGCGTACTCAGTAGTCAACGTGTGACTGTTGTTGTCGTACGTCGTGTGATTTCTTTGATATTTTATCCATACTAACTATGTCGGGCAAAAGAAGAAAGTGGTCGGACGAATATGTACAACATGGATTCTCATGTATCACGGAACGTGATGGGAGTGAGCGTCCTATCTGCATGATTTGCAATGCCAAGTTGAGCAACTCTAGTCTTGCACCGGCAAAACTAAAGGAACACTTCTTGAAGCTGCATGGAGACGGGGAATACAAGAACACAACACTTGCTGAATTCAGGGTGAAGAGAGCCAGATTCGATGAAAGGGCCACTCTGCCTGCTCTTGGATTTGTACCTGTTAACAAACCGATCCTGACAGCATCGTACGAAGTTGCTTACCTGATCGCAAAGCAGGGCAAGCCACACACCATTGGTGAAACACTTGTGAAACCAGCTGCATTAAAGATGGCGAATCTGATACTCGGAACAGCGGCCGAAGGTAAATTATCCCAAATTCCCCTTTCAAATGACACCGTCAGTGACAGAATAGAAGACATGAGTAAAGACATCTTGGTTCAAGTAGTCGCGGATCTGATTTCAAGCCCGCAAAATTCAGCCTTCAACTCGACGAAACCACAGACGTTTCTGATCTAAGCCAGCTTGCTGTTTTTGTACGCTATGTGAAAGACGACATGATAAAAGAAGAGTTTTTATTTTGTAAGCCTCTTACAACAACAACGAAGGCAGCCGATGTGAAGAAGCTTGTGGATGACTTCTTCAGAGACAACAATCTTTCATGGGATATGGTTTCTGCAGTTTGTACGGACGGAGCTCCAGTCATGCTGGGAAGAAAGTCTGGTTTTGGTGCGCTAGTTAAGGCCGATGCACCACACATCATTGTGACGCATTGTATTCTGCACAGGCATGCGTTGGCAACAAAAACCTTACCTCCAAAAATGGCAGAAGTATTAAAAACTGTGGTGGAATGTGTGAACTATGTGCGAAAAAGTGCTCTGAGGCACCGCATCTTCAGTGAGCTGTGTAAAGAAATGGGCTCTGAATTTGAGGTACTTCTGCTCAATTCTAATATTCGGTGGTTATCCCGGGGACAGGTGCTGAATCGTGTTTTTGCCATGCGTGTGGAATTAGCCCTGTTTTTGCAAGAGCACCAACACTGCCATGCAGATTGCTTCAAAAATCCTGAGTTCATTCTCATTTTAGCGTACATGGCTGATATATTCACAGCTCTCAATCATCTCAATCAGCAGATGCAGGGTGGTGGAGTCAATATCATGGAAGCGGAAGAACACCTGAAGGCTTTTCAAAAAAAGCTACCGTTATGGAAACGACGAACAGAGAACAATAACTTCGCAAACTTCCCGCTTCTGGACGACTGTGCAAGTAAGATCGAAGATGTGTCTGGAATCGGAGATATTTCTGTATCCACGGAACTGAAGCAAACAATTGCCACGCACTTAGATGAGCTTGCAAAGTCTCTCGACGGATATTTCCCTACAAGAGAGTCATATCCAGCATGGGTGAGACAGCCGTTCACGTTTGCTGTTGAAACAGCAGATGTCAATGATGAATTCCTCGACGAAATCATTGAAATTCAGCAGAGCCAGGTTCAACAGCAACTCTTCAGAACAACAACGCTCTCAACGTTTTGGTGTCGACAAATGAACAAGTATCCAGTTATTGCTAAGAAAGCCCTGTATTTTTTATACCATTTGTTACAACATATCTTTGTGAGCAATCCTTTTCGAGGATGCTGGACATAAAAACGAAGAAAAGGAACAGACTTTGCTGTGAAAATGACATGAGAGTGGCACTTGCCAAGGTGAAGCCACGCATATCTGAACTGATCTCTCAAAGGCAACAGCAGAAGTCACATTGATTTCCAGGTATGTAATTTGTTGTGAGTTTATGCATTGTGTTGGTTTTATTCTTTGAACAAGGTAATGTTCATGCACGGCTCATTTTGTGTACCAGTAAAAAACATATCTATGTCTTGAATTTGAAAAAAATCACATTTTATTTTTCACTAAAGAGGGGTTCGGTGAATGCACATATGAAACTGGTGGGGTTCGGTACCTCCAACAAGGTTAAGAACCACTGGTATAGTGTATAGTGTAGTATACTAGTACAGCACTAGTATATAGTGTAGTGTATAGTGTAGTATACTAGTACAGCACTAGTGTATAGTGTAGTGTATAGTGTAGTATACTAATACAGCACTAGTGTATAGTGTAGCGTATAGTGTAATATACTAGTACAGCACTAGTGTGTAGTGTAGTGTATAGTGTAGTGTATAGTGTAGTGTATAGTGTAGTTTACTAGTACAGCACACCGGTGTGTGTTGGAGAGCCAAGCCAAAGCACTTACAATCCGAGTACGACGTTTCGCCAGTAATTACAACCAGCTTCATCAGGCGACAGCCAGATTTATGGAGAAGTCCGCCCGTTTCGCTCCTACGTGTTAAACTAACCTCTCCGCCGTTTCTAAACTCCTTGGGCGTCTTGCTCTCGCACAACCTTCAGACTCACACGTGCCTCTTCACCAAGCCTTTGTCCCCATCCATCTGCCTACCGTGAGACTCTCTCCACGGAGACTGCAATTAACCAGAGCCTTCGACGACGATCTTCCAATCGTCGACTCCGGTGCGATCGCGGCTCTCACTGGGTCTGGACATTTCACCAGCTCTTGCTCCTGCGATTCACCTACAGCGTAACCGGCCTCCGTGAGTCTGACTTTGGCATCGGAGGATTAGTTCTTAAATGGACCTCATCCCATTCGGCCGGGAGGACCTCCTCCGTTAAAAGGGGGCGAATCCACATCCATGATCACAAATCACTCGTGCTGGATCCCTCATAGGTTCCGTGCTTGGACCACTTTTGTTTCCTGTCGAAACACTCCACCCCCCCCCCCCCCCAATCAGTCGACTTCTAAATATCTTCGGAATTAAATGCCACTCATGTGCTGATGACATTCTGTTATACGCATCAATAACCCCCACTCGTGCTCAGGGAATTGAACATCTTTGGTTCTATTCGGTAAAGTCACGTAGGTAAAAAAATAAAACAACAAAAATCACGACGTTTCGGCCACAACACAAGCGGCCTTCATCAGGTGAAGAGACCAGCCTGTCTCGAAGGTCGTGGTCTGAGCTTGGCTCTGTTTCACTCCAGCGCAGTCTTCGATACAGTCTGGTCCCTTCACCTGATGAAGGCCGCTTGTGTTGTGGCCGAAACGTCGTGATTTTTGTTGTTTTATTTTTTTTACCTACGTGACTTTACCGAATAGAACCAAAGAGTATGGATCCTTGCAGTCACGAACGCTTCAAATCTAGAAATGAACATCTCTCTGAGCGCCTTGCAGTAGCCTTGCAGCGCTGTTGCTCTGGCTCGCGCGATCTCTCTTGAAATGCAGCCAAATCTGAAGCCAAGCTCATTGGGGGGCACCCCGACAGCGGCTTGCGCCACCCTCTCTACCCCGCAACATCACGGATTGCCGGCCACCACCATTCCCTGGACGGAGCGCATCAAATTCCTTGGCGTCACTCCGCGTTCCACCCTCGTCTCTGGACGTCAACAACCATCACCAAAGCGTGC